GCTGAAATTATAGGAACTTCAAAAATAAGAACCTTATCTTTATAGTTAGTATATTGGAATCATTTATAGTCATTCAGTACCTCAATTTTTGGAATGGACATTCGTTTTCTCATGTTTCCAGTCTGTTTTTCGCCTATGCCCTCTTAGTACTAGAATAACCTGATTATTTAAATTTATGCTAAACTGTAAAAAATAAGTTGTGCAATAGCTTTCACCTTCTCGGCTCTTGTCCATGCGCGCTCAGAAAAAATATTATTCATGGAATTAACGAACGTTTGAATTTTTTACAACTTTTTAGGCAGATTTTGTGGATCTGTCATTGATTTGAATGAATCATGAAGTAATGCTATCTATTGAAAAAAAAATTACAAAACCCACAATTTGTAACTGAGAAAATTTTTTTTCAAGCTTTGAACTCAAAGTTAGGAAGTTCATGCCGATTTAGCAGTAGCGGATGCGGAAAGTCACATGAAATATTCAATTTCCATTTTTTTTTCAAAGTTTCATGTCGATTTTCCAGCAAATTCTTAGCTTCCTTTATTGAGTTTAAACTTCCAAACCGCTTTTAAAAATCTAATATGGTTTGAATGGAAAATGGGAGGATCAAAAAATCTAAATGCAATAGTAAAACATCTTTTTATTCATGAATTAGATCAATGTAAAAATTATAGCACATTGTGAATTCTCACTTTGACGTGATAAAATTTTTCAAAAAAGACATTTCTGAATGCAAAAATCTAGAAGAAGAAGCAACAAACCTTCTGCAATACAAGCACATTCGTCTATATTACTCACGAACGGGCAGAAAAGTATGGCTGTAAAACAAAAAAGTTTTTTCCTAGGCTTGTTTCTTAAACTGATTCAAATTTGTTAGCATGAATGATAAGTTGCTATTCTGTAGCCGCAAAAGAAAATCAAAAAGGTTCGGATGAAAAGCTTGCTGGAAAAAATAAATATTTTTTCTGACCGGAAAGTGAATGCAGTGAAATTTGGACTTTAAATGCGGTTATTTGAAGCTCTGTAAAATCCTAATAAATGGAACTGATCTTTAACAATTTTTAGATACGCGGAGAAAGAAAAGTGCTTCTCAGTGGTATGTTGCATTTGTTCCAAAGAGAAAAATTGATGGAAGAAAGTTTGTCTGAAAAAAGGCTCAAAAAACGCTTTTATTTTTGTATCAACCTAATAACTCATGCTCGTAATGGTGAAAATCATAACAATGGCTAACCTTTCGCCGCTTCTTCATATATGCCAAATATAAGAGTTTCCCGAAGTTTCTAGGAAAGCCCTACTTTGGCTTTCCATCGCTTTGTATAAGCAACTGATGAGTCGCGTTCTTTTTTTAATGTATTAATGGCGAAAAAATACTTTATTTATTTGCTAGTCGTTATTTGCAACTGATTTAGATAAAAGATTCGTCACAACAAGCTAAGTTTGAATCTGTTTGAGTCATTTGTTCTAGAAGGATTATGGAAGCCCCGCCTCCACAAATAAGCTGCAAATAAAACAATTTGAAATGCAGATTTCAGGGAAACTGCTACATTGACTGCAAGAACAACTTCGTTTCAGTGATATATGGTCCGATCTCATTCTTTCTTGACTTTGATTTGCAATGAAACTGGATATGCAAAAAAAAGGTTTTACGACTCATGCTTTTGGCTAAAAATATAGGAACAAGCCAGAAAGTTCTGAGAACTTTATTTTTCGTAGTTAGTGCATAGGGTGGGGATCATTGTACGTCATTCATATCCCTCGATTTTTGGGCTGCAGAGCATTCGTTTTTTATTCTCAATCTGTTTCTTTACTATGTCCTCTCATAGATTGACTATTCAGATTTATCTGAACTGTGAGAAATTGGTAGTGTAATGGCCTTTACCCTCTCGGCTCTTGCCAATGCGTACTCAGAGAAATCCTCTTTAGAAAATCCTAAAATCCTCTTCAATAAAAATCTAATTTTTACAATCTTTTTTTGAACAGATTTTATGGATTTGTCATGCAATTTGCGTGAATCATAGAACAACGTCGATTTATTGACAGCAATGCCACCAAAAGCAATTATACAATACTCAAACCAAATTAATATTATAAGTTAAAGCGGTTATGGATTATCGTCATCAGACGAAATGTTTATCAACACGAATATTTTGACTAAAAGTGCTGAGAGCGAACCTTTCTGTTTGTTTATGTTTTTTGGAATTTTAGAGAAACACGGCTGAACAAAAATACATTTCTGCCAACTCTTTCAAGAAGATAATACCCTTACTGTTATTTACAAACTGAAACATTCACTTCGACATATGCATCATGACTAGAAACTCATTTACTTTGAAGATTTGCAACCCTTTTGGAAGGTTTATTTGCAAAAAAAAGCATTTGAGCACTTCAGTGTGGGAAAACTATGTAAAATTTAATCCTTATACATCCACTTGATTTATTATTCTACTTTTATATTCAACTATCTATTCAACTATGTCATTCCATTACAGCCGAGTAAAATGTACTTGGGACTGGTAAATAATGCAAGATATGCACTAAGTGTGAGCTCTATCAGTCTTTTCAACTATCAGTCAAAGACAATAGGCCCATAGTGGAAACTTTTATTTCTTAACTTTTTAACTGTTTTATTTATTTCATTTTTTAATTGAACTTTCGGCTTCAGAGTCTGAGAGAGCTTCAGAGAGTTAAGTGCAAAATAATGACTTAATACATACTCAGACAAATCACCGGAACTTCCGCAGGACAAGCAAAATTTGCAGAAGTTCCGTAGGACTTTGTTCACTATTGCAAGAACGAAAACGTTGAATATCGGAACTTCTGCGGAATTTTCATGCCAAACTGGTTAAAAACCGGAACTTCCGCAGGACCTTTTTCAAAATGCTGCGGAAATTCCGAAAAACGCCAAAGGTTCCGCAGGACTTCGAATGTGTTGTCTCGTGATGTTGCCTCGCCAACAACTAGAATACATTATCGAACATGTCAGCCGTAGTGAAAGATAGTAGGTGGGTCTCATAGTCAATAGAGTGAGGTTCAAACCTCGCTTCGGTGTTCTCTTTTGCTGTTGTGGTTGGCATTCTTCGGAACTTCAGCTAGACCTCATTCCGGAACCTCCGCAGCGGTTACGGAACTTCCTCAAGCGCTTTGGGAAGTTCCGGTCATTTGTCTGAGTATGTGTAATTTGAAAATCGAGAGTAAGGAATATTTGTGTTTTACAATAGCTTCATGCTAATCTTTTGAATAGATAACAAGATAGATAAGGATAACAAAAAATCGGGTGATTAGGGGGGGGGGTGCCACTCAAGATTCTACACTAAGGGAAATCGTAACTTGACCAGTAATTATTGCGCATACAAAATGACTTGGAACTTCCAAATGTTATTTGATTGAATATGATATTTACACTGGAGTCTCTTGTTAACTATGGGTATACGGTAAAAGATCAGACCGTTTGAATCTGCCGGAACTTTCCTTTGACGGAACCGGATATCCAATATTTGCAATGTAACCCTATGCTGTTTTTGTGACTTTTTAAAAGGTTTACTCAGGAAGAAGAAACCATTTTCTCACCCACCCTCGAATGTCCATTTTTTCGCCCATCTCAGAAATAAAAATCTTCTGATTATAGTCTATTTACTCATATCCTGAGATATAGGATTTCATCGCATGAGGTGGGAGAAGATTAGAAAGCCCTGCTATACGTTATGTAATCCTCTCAGGGTCTCATGAGAAACCTATGAGTGAACGCAGCTTCTTTGGATCCGTACAATGTCTATATAATGAACTGGCTTCCATTCAGATTTGGTTTTGTTTAAAACCATTTTTTCTCAGAATGTTATCTATCATCAATACCTAATGTCAATCTGGCTAAAAGTAATGGCTTGATTTCTATAAAAAATTTATTTATCTATTTACCAAAGATTTTCTGCGCAAACGCGGTTTTCTTCCACTGTTTGATTATGTCCCAAAATGGCGATCTCCTTGTCAATTATTTCTTTAGCATCCTAGGTCTGTTGAGTTTTTCATACATAGGAAACGACACTGAAAACTGTTCGCAATTTCGAATTTCTGTGCACATGAAAGTGCTGCGGAAGTTCCGATTTTCGAAGGCCCTGACGTCAATTTCCTGCGGAAATCCCGCATTCTGGAGGTGCACTTTCTCAAAGGTTAAGAAATTGCTGCGGAACCGCTACAAATTCTGCTTGTCCTGCGGAAGTTCCGGTAAATTGTCTGAGTGGTCAAAAATATGAAACTTTTTCGCATTTACGCAACTATGAGAAAAAAAATCAGAATATATGATTTTCCAAACAAAGTATACTTTCCATCGACTTTTTCGAGAAATACAAAACTTTGAACGAAGTTTTCTTATAATATTTGTACAAGCCATTAGAGGGAGCAAAATTATTTTTTTAGCTAGGCTAATATAAAAATGGACATGGAGGTGATTAGCTACTCAAGTTTATTCCACTCGCTTATCAACGATATTTTCGTAATCAGCATGCTCACTTATCCCCTGTACCAACTTTCAACCTAGTCGGTAAAATTTCGCGAAAAATCGATAAAATCGATATCGATCGTATAAGTAGCTTACGTCTCCCGCCCCGCCCGAAGTGTATTTGTGCTAAGTTTGCTTCGATTCGGATCAGAAACAAAAATTTCTATTTGAACATACGTATACACATACATACAGATAGGAACTTGCCAATTCCCTATTGTGACTGTTTTTTTTTTACTTTTGACCACAACTTTTCAAAATTCTATTCCACTCCTTGAGTTATTCGTCTCATCTGCACTATCGTTTTGTCTAAAGACATTGGTAGCAGAAACAAATGTGATTAGCCACTCGTAAATGATATTTTCTCCTTCAGTCGCGATTCTGCTTATTGCTTTCTAACAACACTAATCCTACGTACGTTGTCTACTCGGGCAGACTTTGTGTCTGCTGAGTTATTTGACTCACAGCAGATCATTTTATATTTATTTTTCGCTTTTTAATCGATATTTGTAGAAAATGACATCTGAAGATGCGGATTATTATGAAGGCTGGATACATCTAGAACGACGCGTACCTTTCCAGGTAAGTCTTCCCTTTTGAATTGATGTAAGGCGAGTCATTGGCGCAGAAACAGGCCGCCATTGCGTACGCTGTCGGCGTCTCTATTATCAACTGCACTATCATTCCTCTAGCCGTCTGCGCCTCTCTTAAACACCTGCTATCTTAGGCGTCGCAATGGCGTCCTGTCCTGCATGTGATGCACCTGTGTATACATGTCAACACACAAAATCTTTTCTTAATCTCGTTACAGGGTTACCGTACCTATGTGGCGCTCACTTATGTCGGGTTCAACATTATTGGTTTTGTCGTCAATTTCTGGGTATTGTACGTGGTGGCACCACTCTTATTTGCTCCAGCAGTCAAGGTAAGCAGTGTCCTTGTCGGGCGCGTAACTGTCGGGAACTTTTTCATGGCTTCTTGGCGGTGAAACAGCCATCGTCACGGGGTTATATGGAAGCCAGATAAAAACGAAATTACTTTTACATAGTGCTACCCCCACAATGGGATTACGGTAGTGCTAGTGAAAAATTCTCATTTTGCATAAGTTTTCTTGACTTGGCCTTTATATGACGCTAGTTTTGAATATGACAGTTGAGCCTGAAATCCTCATAGAATCCCTTTCCGAGGCTATTCCTTCGTAAACCGCGGACGAGTGCCTGGCGCTAGCATTGTTGAAAACTTGCATCAACATGTTAAACAGTATGCAATCGATTACGCTTTCCATGTAAAAACGCGTCAAGAACTGAAAAGATTGTCCAAAAAGGCGGGTAGCACACCAAAAGTGGGCGGTCCGCGCACCTTGTTTTTTGAACTAACTTTTTGAACCTAAATAAATTTTCTTTTACATACTCCTGTTAATTTCTTCAATTAAAGGTGCCAAAAAGCATATTATTCTTCATCTTCGCCTTGGTTATTGGCGATTTAACCACTATGATAGGTAAGTTATTGGGTAACTCAGAACTCCTCGAGCGCAAAAAAATTCCATTGCAGCAATGTTGTTACTCGTTATTGAGCTAATATTTGGAACTTGGCAATTTAGCGCCACTGCTTGCACGTCATATCTTGTGCTGGATTCTTTGAATAAGTTGGTTTTATTTGAGTTTTGCTCAGCTCAAAGCTCACGTTTCAATTTTTACCTTTAGATTTGTTGCCCCTATGATAGTATTCTTGATCAGCAGAACATGTTATACCACTGTGTGCTTGGATAAAGCTAGAGGAGAAGAAGCCGCAATGAAGGTGCTGACATCTTTTGATTTTTGAAAAATTGAATTTGAAAGCTTCTCTTTATTCAGCATGCAATCTTACAAGTACTGCTTGCTCTCGGATGTGTCATGGTGCTTTTATGGCCAGTTTTTGCCTATTCGCAGGTTTGTTCTTCTTTTTTATCGCAGCAAAAACCTAAAAAAGTGTGGTGGAACAAAATTGTAAGGGTTTGTGAAGTGAATTAGAAAAATATTGCTTATTCTTTCTCTGGATGATGATCTCGAATGTGCACTTCAAATCCGCAAGAAAAGACATTTCAAAAGAGTTAAAAGGGGCATTGCAAAAGAAATTGTCGTTGAGAGAAATCGAACCCGCGATAACTTGCGTCGCAGTCAGAACCACTAACGACTAGGCCAAACTGTTAACTTTTCTTCGTGCCGCTACTCGTGCCCTGCCAAGCGAGTACTTGGCGTCCTGCCAGGAAAAAAACCTTTTTATAACTTCATAGAATGATCGTTCAGCAGATTCTGAATACAAGTTTATGATTAACGTCTAGAGATCGTACGGACAATATAAATCACTTTACAAATCGCCAGTGTGCTTATAAATCCTTTTGAGTTATTTTCAAACATCAATAGTCCAGGTTTTTACCTTCTACGTAAACCCAAACAATCTTACCAACGAGGTGACAGTGATAAGAAAATGCAGTTTCTCACCTCCTCCGGGTAAGCGCTTTTTCGCCTCAAAATCATCTTTATGTGCCAATCGCAAAGTTCAGACATTCAATTCTGGTTCAATCTGGTGGCATGCATCACATCCTACGCTGTTCCACTATTTGGTATTATCTACTGGTACGTGTCCGTACCGTTTTTCCTGAAGCGAAGGGCTCTTTCCACTTTGGTGGCATCCAGGTATTTTTCGTTCGTCTTTATGACAAACAAAAATTAAAAAGAGAACTTGTTTTTTGCGATTTTTCTTTTTCGTACACTCCCATACAAGAATAGAGGCCCGGCACGGGATGAGCAAATGTCAAGCTGGAAATCGTTTTGGATGGGAAGCAAAGGGGATTTCGTAACCAAATAGATCATGTGTCTACAGGGCTTTACAGTCTGAGTGTCCCACCCGCCCCGCTAGGACGCCACGCTTAGATCCGCGCAGCGTTCGTGGCGCTGGCTGCGCGTCGACTGAAGCTTGGCGAAATCCGGGCGATACGCAGCAAACGCCGCGCGCGGCCTGAGCGAGGCGGCCGCGTTGGAGGAGCCGCGCAAGCGAAACTTGCGACTCTCAGGTTGAAAAGCCCTGTATGTGCAAATTGGAAAATTACTCTTACATACGCTCTCTCGACAAGTTGCTACACGACTGACATGCAAAAACATGATCTTGTTCGTGCCCTCAAGAATCCAATTTTATTTCATAGGGTCAAGTGTCTCGGTAACAAACATATAACAATAGGACTAAGAATTTGGAGTATAAACGAACATGAACTAGGAGGAGCATAGTGCCTAGTAATGTGAAAAAATTATGTGACTGAAGGTTGTGGCAAGCTTGTTTCCGAAGATTTCCCACTACCACAAAATGATAAATTGGTTCGTTTGCAACGTACAGATAACGATGTGGCACGAAATTTAGTGCGTGTACGCGCAGTTGGACTAAGGAAGAAATTATGAGAAAATTCTGCGAATAAAGAGCGTGCTTAACTTTTTTCGAGATTAGGCGGCCAACTGCCTAATCAATGGTCACCTGAGATAGGCAAAACTTCCATCTCACATGAGGTTTCTAAGATTTTTACATAAATCTGTTCTACACCTAAAGTTTACACATAGTAACATTGGTTCCAAAACTCCTCCTCTCTTCCTTGTTAGGATCCAGAATAGCAGCACGCCGGTCCTTCTGAGGAAGAAAGCGCTCTCCAATCGAAAAACCTGCGCAGCTGGTGAGATCAAGGGGAAATCGTAAAAGTCGATAGTGGCAAAGACGAAATCGTTTTGCCGATGTTCATTTGCCACCCTCGTGCTGGGCCCTGACAAAAAATGCACTCTTCAGCCTTGAAGGCAGAAAACAACAGAATCTGTTGAATTTAATGAAGTTCGTTCTAGTTCGGTCGACATTGCTTTACGAAAGGTGATCACTACCGTCTTACTGCTCACTGCTATTTATGTCTTATGTTGGTCACCATATTGGGTCTCTATGTTTGCGCATAACATTTTTTCCATGGGAAAAACAAGTAGTAAGTTTTAGCGTTTGGCTACTTCATAATTGACAATACTTATGAGATGGAAAACTCGGCGGCCGGTTCAGTTGCCCAGTTTTCTGAAGAAAAAAAACATTCAAGCATACTCTTTATTTTATCCAGTTCCAATTCACACTTTCATTAACTTACATAGCTTCTGACTTTCTTTGACTCATTGTGCCTAGATAGGATCCTGAAACCTTTTTGAACGACAAACATGTGATTAGAATATCTTCTACCGCATATCCACGTAGCGTCGTGCTTTACGTTCTTTTCTTTTTGTTCTTGCAAAGAATGGCTCACAAATAGCCTCTGCAAAACCTCGACTAAATAAAAGCCGTATCTAAATATTTCACTGATAGCAAGATCATAGCTTCAAACAATTAGAATAATCTTTCAGTGATTATTGTTTCGTACTTCATTCATCTACTTCCCTACATCAGTTGTGTCGCTTACCCACTGATATTCACCCTACTCAACCGAGGTAAGTTCTTATCAACATAAATGTTCAAAAAATCTATTCATGGATAGTCTGTTGTCATTGTTGTCCAATATGCGGACACATTTGTCAGAAAAGCATCATCAAGAAGAAAATCTATCTCATATTCAGTAATCATAGTGGCCCTTACGAGGTTAATTCCAGTAGTTCTCTTGACCATTTCTCATTTCTGTCTGCGAATTCGCAAGAGTAAATCCATTCATTTCTTTGCTCATGTTTACGTAGTTCTCCATCAGGCAACTGCCAGCCATTTTTCGTTCCTAACCTCTTCCAGCAGCATTGAGTTAATTCGTTTTCGTCAATATTCATGTTTCGGTATCCCACTGCTGCTACACATGATACACATGAATAACACTTTTCGTTTTCATCTCATTAGCGCCGTTTTTGAGAGTAAGAATTTTCTTTACTGTCAAGACTTCGTGTTCAGTTGTATAGATCTAACAATCCTTGCTGTAATCATGAAAGAAGGAAGTATTTTGTCCAAGATATGTACAAGCTATAACAACAATAGCTCCATGTGTGCGATCGCAATGATACGCGCGCGAGCTAGTTTCTCCCTATAAAATAACCGTTTAGCGCTCCCACTGCTTCTCGTGTCTGTTTATCATTTCTTCATTCGTAAATAAGAATGAGGCTATCTGCAGGCGTACCATAGCTAGGAAGCCGACCTGCTTGAAGGGGTGGATTGTGCGGGGCTTTTGTCGTTACAAGATAATCTATGATTTTACCTGCAGTGTAGTTCCTGCGAGATGATTATAATACCCTTTGAATCTACCGGATTGGCGGGTTAGAGGAACGAACGCCTCAACTAGGCATCGCCTCCGCGGGCTGCTGGTCCTTTCGTCCTACTGTTATGCATCGTGTTGGGACCAGTGGTCCGCGAAGGCGGTCCCTAATTGAGGCGTTCGTTCCTCCACCCGCCTCGAAGCCCCGCCTTCCCTCGCCAATCCGTTGAATCAAAATGTAGGTGTATGCGTGCTAAGCTCTTGTTCACTGAGTATATTTGCCCGGGAACTATACGCAAAAATACAATGATGTCACAAAAATTATTTGCCGCTTTGTACGGTTTTTATGGAAACATCGGGATTTCTTGCAGGAATTCGTTCCGCACATGCGAAGATTGTACAAGATCAGAGAAGACGATTCCGAAGCATCACTGATGAGGCGAGCTGTCAAATGCGGAATGTCATCAGGTTTCACTTGCATAGCATCCTCACATTTGCCTAATACAAGTGTGATTTTAGATCGTTACCATCTAGAGCGACCTCCAGCCGACCCCGATCTCCTCGCTACTTTGACGAACATCCGCGCAAATCCGTGAGATCTGAGTATACCGCAGAAGTGGATCGCGTAAGCTTTTGTTTCGTTCTAGACTCTTTTCCTAATAACTACTTTCTGCAGCCTCCCATGCCCTCACATGTTTGCGTCAGTCCACAAGACAGTGGTACGGCTTCTACACTGAATTTGAAGGGATCACTATCGTCTGTGGACAACAACGACTCAGAAACCTTACTTTAGCATTCAATTGCCGTTGTACAAACGTCTCACAACTCGTGAAAAGCATCTGTCGTAACTGTTGTGTCTGAACGTTTTTCCTTATTGGATATTGTGCGGGTTTCTAGGAGGAGTCACTTGATCTGAAAATGTATTGTTCATGTATCTTGAATTTTATACCGATATATAGTTATGGGGGAAAGCTCTTTATGAATGAATACGTTTATTCACCGAAGTAACATCTTCATAGTACTCTAGAATAGCTGTAGTAGGTTGAGTGTCACTGCGCCTCAGCTCACTAATATATTCGCTGGAGGTTTGAAGACAAGCGTATCCCTGCCGCTTCTGAATGCCTTCTCGATTTTTCCGGGGTGAGACATTAAGAAAAGCGTATCCCTGCCGCTTCTGAATTCCTTCTCGATTTTTCCGGGGTGAGACATTAAGAACTCTCAATCATTCACCCTCCCACCTATATTGTGCAGTACTGGCAAGAGCTTTAGCTTGTCGTTGAAGAAGCATGCAAACGTCATCCATTAAGCAAGTCAGGTGCCTCCAAGCTTTTTCAACCATTGATTATTTAGAAGCTGTTAGCCCATCATTGGAAAAACGCATCAAGCAGTACGACTTTGCTTCAATCAGGTAAAGTCAATAATCGGAGTGGTAGCACATAACGATGCAATGGCTCCTGTATCGAGAAGTTGCTGCTTGAATTAAGCAAAGCCAATGCCTATGGGCAGAGAGAGAGTTGGCAAGGAGATGCTTAATCACTGCTTATCTTCATCGCATGTTTCCAATTCGCAGTTTATTCCATCAAATAAGAGATTGGAGATGACGTAGTTTCAAGACATTGCATATTTTCATTTGCCGATGACACTGTCCCTATAGGTGGTTGCCCAAGTTGATAGAAGTCAATGGCTCTTTCTCAAAGCTTCTTCAAATGGCCTTAAAAGAATGACAGCAAAATCAGATGGGTCGGAAAGAAAGAGGTCGCGCTTGGAAGAGGTGAAAAGTTAAGCTAAACGGCAACACCGTTGAGCGCGTAAACTCTTTATCCATCTCGTGCGCTACGGTAGTGCCCAAATCAGAAAAAAAAATCTTTAGATTAAGTGAGATTGCTTGGAAAGTTTTCTCCAAAACAGAAACCTCCTACCATCCCAAGACTGTTCATTTGATAAGCGATACTTCAACATCATCAATTTTGTAACACTTCTGTATGGCTTTGAAACATGTGCAACCACTGAAAAATTGATGCTAAGACAGCTTTGATGCCAGAGAGTAATGGAACATCACGGCTTGAAATGTCAGAGAGCCAACAGTCTTCGGCTCGGAATGCCAGAGAGCCAACACTCTTCGGTCTGGAAAGATTCACGGGAATTAGGCAAAGAAAGATAAACAAATTTTTACGGGCTGGGCACCAGCTATTGAAAGATGTTTGGTGATGCAGACCAAGAAGTAGATGGGAGAACGACGCTTTGAAGCACTGAAGTGTTTTGAAGCGCTTTAAAGTTTTAGAATATGCTTGTAAGTGGCAAAAAATGTGAATGTTCGCGAATGGGATGACTGTAGAACACGCACACTGGACTGAAGTTCATAGTCATGAAGTGAGCGGTGAATCTCATTTTGATCTACTGGTCATCAAGATATGGTAAGGACGAACCGAACACAAGACGGGTCGGAATCAAAAAAAGTGTAAGTTTCAACTACATGAGAGGTCAAGCACGATAAATTGGCTCCAAACGGGTGAAACCCAGTATGTCAGCTCGTAAATAAAAAACACCGTGTTTTCACCAAAATGTACAGCAGCGGAGTATGAATAATGACAGAGTCAGTTGGGATGAGCAATGGAGATTTTAGAATCGGCGCAACAAAGATTTTATGGGAAAAAAGATTTACTTTTTACGATATACAAAAATGACCTTCTGCTAAGACTTGAATGAGCCAAGTGCAAATTTTGCGCACCTGCACAGTTTGTTGTTCATCCTCTATTTACGAATTTAAACACGACTGGTTGCTAAATGCACTTGACATAGTGGATCTCTTCTCTTCATTTTTCAGGAACGTTTAAAATGCAGCCGATAACTAGTTTTCTATATCGGCTAGCTTCTGCTCGCCTCCACTTGTTTTCAAAATCAGCAGTGTCAAAAGCTAACATTTTTCGTTGTGTTGAGCTTGTTTCTTGTCTTGCCCTGAAACCACTTTCAAAGCTAAGTGCTAGATGAATCCATTCTTAGCTAACAATTTCTCGTTGACTACCATTTTCACAAAAAGAACCGCGTGAAACCGAACGACCTCGTAATGGCAATCATAGAACCTAGATGGGAAACGAAATTTACATCTCGGAAATGTTATGTTGGCTCGAAAGTTCTGAGACATTTTCGAATTAGATCTGCTATTCTTGAAACCTAACGCATATACATCAGGTAGAGGTACCGTTTGATGAAGCAAAACAAGCTCTACAAGATGGTGTGCAAAAGTTTGCACCAGCTTCGATCTACCGTAAGTTTGCACCCAAAATCTGAGTCGTACTGAAATTAAAAAATCGCGAGTAATTTGTTCAACAAGTCCTACAGATCTCCAACTTGCTCACAAAAATTGCAAACCACACAAACACTCATGTGCACCGTTCCTGTATTGTTTCCTCATTTGGAAATGAGAAAACGAAAATTTTCGTACCTATATAAAAACGAAGCTGTGCTGTTTCCACCCATGTAATTGAATAGTACAATCCCTAAGAAGTATAACCGTAAATTTTGCAGCTTTCCGTAAGCCCTAGTTTCGAAAAATATTGATTCTAGCATGGAACGCCCGAGTGAGGAGAGCTCAATTTGGTAATTTTCGGGATCTAGGATCTGTAGAAAGCTGAAAATTTACGGTTATACTTCTATGGGCTTGTACTATTCAATTACATGGGTGAAAACAACACAGCTTCGTTTTTATAAAAGTGCGAAAATTTTCGTTTTCTCGATTTCCAAACGAGGAAACAATACAGGAACGGTGCATATGAGTGTCTGGTGTGGTGTGCAATTTTTGTGAGCAAGTTAGAGATCCGTAGGATTTGTTTGAACAAAGATATGAATTTCTCGCGATTTTTTGAATTTCAGTACAACTCAGATTTTGGGTGCAAACTTATGGTGGACTGAAGCTGGTGCGAACTTTTGCATACCATCTTGTAGAGCTTGCTTGGCTCTATCGAATAATACCGCTACCTGATGTATTTGCATTGGGTTTCGAGAAATCGCAGATCTAGTTCGAAAATGTCTCAGAACTTTCGAGCCAACCTAATACTTACAGAGCCATGGTGGGGGGGGGGGGGGAGGTCGTGAACTATCAGCAACTCGTTAGCTCACACAGTAGCCTTCCAAGAATTCATAAAACCGGGATTTCATCGTGATTTTCAATTCAATGTTTGGTACGGTATTCCTCCGATAGTATTGCTGGGTTTTTTCCTATCACAATGTTATCGAATATGCCGACAGTTTTGCTCAAGCCTCAAATTTTTTTATTATTCAAGCTATTTTTCATATACTGCAAACTTAGAAAAAATGTTTATTTAAAGGATTTCATGTTGTTTGCAAATGCCAATGGCTTTGCTCAAAGCTCAATTCTTTTTGAAATAAGCCAATTTAAATTTCATGCAGATTTTTGAAGTTGCTGTATAGCGGTTTTCTATCATGCTACTCCCACTCAGGTAATCGCCGGGGGCAGGCGACGCAAATTCGCGCTTTTCTGCAGGCGGTCAGCAGAATTTTGGGGCGTGGCTAAACCTCCAGCGGGCGGCACTTCCTTTAACGTTGCATATTCTGCCAGCGGGCAACAATACAGCATTTTTGCAAGCGCTCGGCAAATAACTTCTTTTATCGAGAGTTGGCTAAACTTTCAGCAAGCGCTAGGACTCTTTCAACGCAGTTTCGGGCATACGCCGAGTAAAGATGAGATTCTATGTGGCAGGGGTGTCATCCTCAGACAAACGCCGGGGGCAGGCGGGCACTGGAAAAATAGATGGCTGGTTTCTTGCACCCCGCCCGCGGAATTTTTGGAAAGCAATCAGGATTTTTCGGAAGAGCGCTTGCTGAGTTCTCGATTCCTCAAAGATTCAGCAATATATCTGCAAAAGATAAGAGCGGAAAAAAAATTCAACAAGCGGTCTCTCAAAAACTCGCTGACCATTTTCCTGGAATTTGCGAGCGGAATGCGAAATTTCGGCAATGCGTATTTTCCGGCGCCCGCCTGCCCCCGGCGATTATCTGAGTCGATGGTTTAATTACTCAAGTTTGAGGTACCTTCTTTCAGCGGAAGGTGCCTACGGGCTGTGCGTTCCTTCACAAAGGACCGCGCGGTCCTCAATATCTTGCATTTTCGCGGAAAGTCCGCGAGAGTGTGGTCACTGCGCCTAATCCATAGAATAACCACGATACTTCTCCGAGCATTCCTCTAAAAATTGGCCAACAGCCTTTCAAATTTCTGCAAGCACACCGCATGAAATCAGCGAACTATTTTTCCGATGCCCGGCTGCTCAAAGTTCGCGTGGCCGCCTGCCCCCGGCGATCATCTGAGCAAACATCCGATGGTCTTGCTCAAAACCTCAAATATTTTTCCTTCAAAATCTAATGAAAAGACCTATAAATTTACTGTAGATTTGAAAGAACTGGAAAGCATACGAAAAAATCTTAATATTTGAAAAATCAACTGAATTTGAATTTTATAGTTTATCACATTCCATTGTTATTTAGATCCCAAAAGTGAAAATTAGCTGAATGAGTGAAAATTAAAATTAGTGAAAATTGCCAAAATTCTCAAAGTTGAAATTATCTCGAAAAATAGAAAAAATCTGCTTTTTTCAAAGAAATTGGCTTGAATCTATATTTGACTAGATTGCTTTCTATGCTATTCCAATGAAAAATGATAAAGGATTCGCGTCTTCAATGACCTCTGCAGGCATAACGCCTCCACTTCATAGTCGAAGAGGCAAATGTACGCGTGCACGCCTTTCACATGAGTTACGGGGGGGGGGGGGAGGATCAAAAGGCCAATAATTTTATCCCCCAAAATGTCTCTAGTACCAATTTACCGCCTCCGGAGGGTAAAGGGCTTGGTTGGCCCAGGTGAGGGATCGAACCTGCGTCCGACCTGGTCAGCAGGCCTCATACCACTGCGCTGCTCACTAATGCTATTTCAGACTCCAAAAGTGACTTTAAAATTATTCAAACTACTTGATACAGAAATTGGTTGAATATAGAAAGGAATCTGAGGTAAGCATAATTATCAGCGTAATAGGAAAAAGCTTGATGAAGAACCCTCGAATACTTGTTTTCTCGCATTTTAGAAGAGTTTTGTTATTGAGCGTTGAGAATCAGCCCATATGGCGCTAGTTAGGTGATAGTACATACCCCCCCCCCCTCAGCAAGTTCTTCGGGTAAGTAACGACAAACTTTGCTTTTTTGGTAGTAGGAGATATTAGATGAAATCTGGCTAACAATACAAGAGATTCGATGCTTTTCTATACGTTTTTAACGATATCCGTTTTGGAGCTTAGAACTATGCCGGTAGTGCAGCTTCCTTGGTGCCTCTCATCAGCAGTTCCCAAGAAAGCTTCAAAATCAGCATACGAAAACAAAGGTGAGAACTTACAAGGAAACGATTCTTACTGTCCGTGGCCTTTTGAGATGAAATGTATACACTACACTCGTCCTCAAACGCTTATTCCGAATCTGACGTCCATTTCTGCTAATCGTTGCTCTGAAAACAGTTATGGAGGGTTTTCGAGCGAAGTTTGGCCGCCCGAAGGAAATACGATGGGAACACCAATATCAAGGGAAATACGATCGGAACTGAAAAACGTAAAAGGATATGTACCTACATATGCATAAACTTTTGAGACCATCGCACTATCCACTACACCACAGCGTACCAGCGGCATTGGTGTTCTCATTGTAATTCCCTCGGGGCCAAACTTGCGGGAAAACCCTTCATAACTTTTTTTTAGAGAAACGGAAGTCAGATTCGGAATCAGCGTCCGAAGGCGATTGTAATGGTATACATTTTCTTCCAAAAGGCCACGGACATCAAGTATCGTTTCCTTGTTAGCTACGAAAAAAATAGAAATAGAGTAAGCGTAAAAGTGCAAATTACGAAAACACAACGTACACGACAAAGTAATGACTTCCGGAACCGAAAGCCAGCCAGAAATCAGCCGAAATTTCATAGGTGTCTTGTGCATCTTTAGAACACCATAAATTCTTCCAGGTATCACATTTTGCTTTTCTACTCAGACAATCGCCGGCGGCAGGCAGGCACCGGAAAAATAGATTGCTGATCTCTCGCACCCCGCTCGCGGATTTTTTGGAAAGCAATCAGGACTTTTCGGAAGACCGCTTGCTGAATAAGCGGATTTTTGAGAGACCGCCTGTTATATTTTTTTTCGCTCTTATCTTTTGCAGATATATTGCTGAATCTCTGAGGAATCGAGAACTCAGCAAGCGGTCTTCCGAAAAGTCCTGATTGCTTTTCAAAAATCGCGAGCGGGGTGCGAGAGATCAGCAATCTATTTTTCCGGTGCCCGCCTGCCCCGCGGCGATTGTCTGAGTACATGTTCAATATTCAGACTATTCAATACCTTATTTGCAGTAGCGGTCGAAAGAAACGTACCTTCACTTCACCGAAAAAATTTTTTTGGAAATTTCCGAAATACAAGGCTAATTCTTGAAAAATTTTAATTGTTTACAAGTATAAACAAATCACTTGCACATTTGTACAACACTTCTACGCAACTTTCAAACCCCTTTCTTCGGTCTGCCAGTGCTTATGTGTTATTCCCAAATTTGACTTTCTAACAGACTAGTTCTTACATATGTAGAGCCATTGCTGACTATTCTATTTCTTTCTTCATCATTTGAAGATAAAGTTTCTTACATGTAAGACTGTCACTAGATGTAACCTTATCTATTGGAACTATGACATAGTGACGTTGTAATATTCTGAGAGCATTATTGCCAATAACATCCCTTTCTACCTGTTCTGCGTTGTGCATACAAACGTTTTAGTTTTAGTTTTGTTTATAAAGTGCTCTCTAAAATCTCTAGCAAGCTGTAGTTTGAGGATAAATTAACTTGAACTTTTTGATTTTATCATTTTCAAAAAAGTCGTCTTGTGATTATAGTATGCGACCCGTATCTTATTGAAAGGTAGATCTTGAGTTCTTGTTCTGTACAAAATTCATACTTCCTGTGCTACTGCTTGTAACATTCATCAGTGATTTCGTTGTATTTACTGCATTCACATTTTTGCTCCTCAATGAGTTTGATGGCGAAATCATCAAGTCTTTTGAGGAAACTGTTGTATTTTAAGCATTTCCAAACCCACTGGTTTTCTCAAATTATGTCTCAGTGACACCTTAATGTTGTTAATTTACTCTTTGTCTTGCATATTAATGTGTCCACTTACAATCCTTTTTGTTCTTGCATCATTACAAAGTTTTATTTTCAATCCATCTAGATTGCCACTTAAGTGAAGTATTGTGATGATCAGTTCTTCTTGTGTAGTTTTTAATTTGTCCTTTCTTTCCCAGAATGGTTTAGCAATCAGTGCATATACCTTAAATAACTTTAACAACGCAAACTCAGAGGTAAAACCTAACTATCAACCTTATTATGTCTTGCTTATTGAGTGTTCTGTAGTATACGAGCAGTTCGTTACCTTGTAGATTGTTTATATTGGCCAAAACGTCTGCTTTGTCTGCACATGTATGCTTCTTTCGGGATCAACTTTTCTTCCCCTTAAATATTCTGATTGTGAGTTTAATTGGACAACGGAATTATGGATGTTCTTTCTCGTTGAATAGACTTACGTTTTTTTTCTAGAATCAAGCTGATGCGGATTCAAGATGCCGTGCCGCCCTTGTGCTGGCGACAGTGAATCTTCACAATTTCCTTGTCAGCTGCGGTCAGCGCCACCGTTGTGCAAATAGCGCTGTTCTACAACAATGTCTCGGCGAACTGAGCCTTTTCGTCGAAGGTGACGTCTGGCCTGACCTTTCTCATCCTTACATCGATAACACAAATTTTGGATAGTTAAGGGAATCTCTAGGCGTGGCGGGAGCCAACGCCCCAATTTAGAAGCGCGTTGGGGAAGGGAGCGGAGATTATGAGGCGTAGTTCTATACTCATTATGTGATAATCTTCACTTTCTGCTTCTGAATCGGACTTCGACGTTAATCTTCAGCCCCCTCCCCCTCCCCGGGCTGCTCCTTTAGCTGCAAAAAAGGCATTTGCAAAGCGCGGACGCGCATTACTGTGTTTTGAAAGTTCTTTAGTATTTCAAAATATATAGCTGAATTACCAACAGAAATATGCACGTATTACTACTCCCCTTCCCACCCCCCCCCCCCCCCATCCCACTCTCAGAAGTGCATCCTTTGCAATTCTTTTCTTAGATTTTTTTGTCTGAGGTTGACGGCCAGCGCATCCGCGCGCTACGTTGTCGAAGCGCCTCGTTCGTGACCAGTCGCCATCGTTTTGGTCCCGCCTTGTCCTCCCCCATCGTTGAGCGTTCCCCCCTTTCGCGGTGTTTGACAGCATCTGCATATCGCTACTCATTCGATATTAAAATTTTGAAGAAGCCCATTATTTTCTATTTTTCACTCAGTTAGGGTGTCACGCCTCATTCGTCCTTTTTTGAGCTCGCATTCTTTGGTATTTTCTTATTTTTTGTTTTCCTTCAAAGGGAATTTTGCTTTCATTATTCGACTTTGCAAACGTTAACATACACATCTACTGAAACACACCATTGCACATTCATCCTGCTGAGACAAAATTTTTTGAGAAGGTTAGGGGTCACAATCCTCAATTTTTGACCCTATTTCAACGTTAGCAATTGCTTTAAAAAAGTGAGGATATACACGGTTTATAGACTAACGTAATATAAAGTATATTTTATATTTATTCCCAGTTTTGTTCACTTTGGCTTTCGCTTCAACGAGAGGAAAGCTATTTCAACTTAAATCGGTATTGGTTTTCTTTCTAAGTTATATTCAAAACCTTTCCATCTCAGATTAAACTTTTGAAATGACTACTTCCTGTTAGAGCCAATGGATCCCATGAAAAGATCCTGTTTCCTCAGTTTTTCCATGTTTGATGCTCTCTTATCCCTTTTTTCTGTACCAGAGCGATTTTTCAAATAAGATTATGAGGAAGCGAGTTTGACTGTTTCTTGTATTGGAATTAGATTGAGGCACAAATGGTTTAGAAACTTTTTTATGGGCTAAATAATTTGAAAACCTTACCCACTGCGATTATGCAGGGGGGGGGGGATATCTCGACCACCTTCACATTATGATTATCAAACACAAAACAGATCCATGGAACACTGATAGAATGAATTTTTGGAGTTCATGTTCCCCCACTTACATAGTAAATAAATGAACAAACGTACAAATAAATAAATAAATGGGCATGCTATTGCTTTTAGAAAGCGAATGTCCACTAATAACGCCTTACTTCTTCCGAATAATCTTTCCTCTCCAAAATTTTCAATTCGTAACCGTCTGAATTCGATATTTTGTTTTAGACATTAAATTGTAGCTGTATGATTCCGAGTTTTCCCAATGTTCATCGAATCGTTGTTTGAATCCGATTTTTTCCGAAACTCCTCAAATCCTAGCTGTTTGAATCCGGTTCATTCTCCATTTTTTCTTTATCAAATCGTAGCTTCTGAATTTTAGTTCTCGCGAAATTGTTCTCTATGCTATCCTAATCCTATTTAAGCATCCAAGAAATCCTTTCAACACTAAAGTGGGCAACAAGCCCTTTAGGCGATGCGCATAGACTGCCTCGAGAAACGATTATCCAGAGCATTTGCCTATTACAGGTTCATTTGAATTGTTTATCTCTAAAATTCGCAGTAACAAATTTGTACGATTTCAGTGGTTTGGTTGTGCTTTGCCCTCTTCCTTTTATACTCATTCCAATACTCGTTACAATCGCTTTGTCTACTGGCTTGATATGGCATGGGCAAGCATTTATGAAGGTTGCAATTTTCTTCTTATTTAATCAATTCGAACTTCAAAAATCAAAAGTCAAAAACAGCCTAAACTAATTTTTTTCATTTATTATTCAAGCCTGTATCGTCTTTATGATTTCTGAATATCGATAAAAAGTATTTCATCTGAAGCTCGTTTTTTTTTGCTTTTTAGTCTTTTACTGTAGTCTGCTTTGGCTGATTACATGGGTACAATATATGAGAGTGGTTGATTGATTGCAATTCAAAATAATCAAGTCTTTGAGACATTTGATTGTCTTGTGTTTGGGAAAATTTGTAATATTCTGCAAATTTTTTTATTGCACAGCGTTTTGGTTTACATCAACAAACTAATACAATACCGCTCCCTCGTAACTTTTGAAATTATTAGGAACTTTGCTGGAGTTCCCCACAACTTCGCTGTGAAAACCTGCCTGTTTACGGTAGCTATACGATAAGTAGTCAGTTTTCCAGCCCTCATGAATTTTTTGTGGTTATATTACCTCACGGTAATATTCAGTATACTCATCAAAATGGTACATGTATTAGCTGCCCCTGGTGTTTATTTATCAACCATAAACCTAGAGTACCCAGAGCATTTCAGTATAACAAATGATGGGCGATGTGAGCTGAGTTAAGGTACACTCAAGTTCAAAACTCGTGCCTGAAATGAAATTGACAAATGCAAAAAATTCAGTTTCAACTGACATAATGATTAGATTATTTTTCCCGATTTACAAGATATAAGCAATTTCGTATTTCACCAGTACTCTATATGGAACACTACCAAAAATTGATGGCTACCTTCAAGCTTTTCATCGATTAACTTATAATCGTTATATTCGAAAACAAAAAACAACGTATAAAAATCGATCAAATTCGGCATCAAAAATTCCTTTTTTTTAATGCACACAAAAACAAAAAACTGCTTTTAAGGATGAGCTCGAACTTTACACCCCCACTGATGCGCAAGCACGGATTGAATTGCGCGATTTGGACGCAATGTTTCATATCAATGACTCGGATCCATTCTATGCAACGAGAAGGTAAGGAAATTTTTTTCGTAAGAAAATCTTCATGTCAGCTGTGGTGTCCAGTCACTCAGCAAAATCTTGAAATTTCGAGATCTGAACAGCTTTCTTTTCTCTGCGTCAAGTCATGTACCCAGTGTTCTTTTCTAATGAACAGCAAAAGCGCCTCTTCTACTCTCTTGAGTGCCCTTTCAAAATTTCGTGCGCAAAAATCGTCGAGAAGCGTGCCGCTGATGTTTGCGTTCGTGTGTTTGTTAGCGGGTAAAAACAGTAGGAGTACGTGTATGAGTAGACAAGTCGGCGTTGATTAAAGCTTCAGCGTAACTCGATATGGGTGCAAAACATCTATTCTCAGAAGCATTTGCTGCTTTGGGAAAAAATTGTGAAAAATTTCCAAACAAAATACAGTCTGTGTCAATCACGTACTCCATTTCTCCATAGAATGCATGCATGCTAAGCGAAGTTCCATGCTGACACTCAATCAATAATCTCAAGCCATACGCGCGCGAACGCGGCGCGAAGCTTTGCGTGCCGCGGATCGATGGAAAAGAGTATTTGGCACAGAGTGTAACTCTTATGTTTTCAGATATGATATCAAGCGAGCTGGCTACATCATTGTCACTCATCGGGAGGAAGATGAAGACATTCTGAATCCATTAGTGATGCAAGCCGCGATGCAGCTATGGAGTATTGTTCAGGTACAAATATTTTTTGTAGTCTATTTAATAAAAAAAGCTAAATAGATTGTATGTAGTGCGTGATCTCAGCAACTTTTTGCATATAACTACAGCTTGTGACAAACAACTCCCTTTTTAATTAATGCGCGCAATCTCCATATATCCGCGTAAAGTACAGTCGAGTAGATTTTCTGCTTAATATAGTGTGCTTGCACAGTTTATGAAATGCGGTAAAATTTGCGCGTGAACAGGTAGCTGCGCCAGCACTGCCGGCATTTTGCGCGCGCAATTGGCCGGCGTCACAGTCGAAGCTATTTTCTCACGAGCAAATTTTACCGCATTTCACCTTCTGTGCAAGCACACTATATTAAGCAGAAAATCTACTCGACTGTACGCGCGCGGCTTTATCGATAAAAGATCCGCACGCAACGCACTCGCGCTGCTTGTGCCTTAGTACAAATAAAGGGAATACTTAACTGACACGAGGTTGTATTTCTTTTGCTACAACAGAACATTGTCAAACATTTTTTTATCCTTTTCCATTTTACTTTAGTCTATTTTTCTAGAAACAGGTGTTTTAGTCATTGACCGTGGAAGACAGGGAAGACCGCCGAATCAACTATCCCGGAATTTGCGTAAAATTTCCGATTCCACCTGAATTCAGCAAAACTCTCCACTCGCTATTTAGCCCGAACATAACGACGTAAGTTTTTTTCACACATTTCAGATCGCGCTTAATGCTTTTTGTTGTTTTGTTCTTCGACTATATTACTCTACAATCGCGCACCTCGCTTTTTTATACTGCAGTTACAGAAGTTTCTATTTAGAAATAATAACTCTATCCGTAGATCCTTAAGGTTTTGTTGGAAAGTATCGGTCGCTTCTTACTGTGCTTCTATGAGATTTGTGGTCCTTTAGCTTCACTTCCTGCATCTCTTGTGATCGCATTGTTTGCGAACAACTGCTAATCCTAATCTGTAGCTTAAATGTTGCGCTGCGGACGTCGCGACCGACTTATTGTTAGGCCGACCGTTCGGAAATAATCTTCAAAACACTGAATTATAGTCGAGCCACTTGCGACGATATGTGTACTGCACACTATGCGCGTACTTCACGACTTGTGTCAGAAGAAGCTTTGAACTTCAAAAACTTTCTTATGTTTTCTTGTCTCTGTTTGCTTGGTTGGACGAATATGAAGAAGTAGAACAGAATTCCACAGCTGTTCAATGAAACGGGTCTTACTGAAAAATTATATAAGATGTCGTGAATTTCAGGGCGTAAAGTGTAGTCTCACATAGTTTACAGATGCCTCACCCATACATTATGTTGTCCCTATTTTCCTACTGAACTATTAAATTTGCTTGTCAAACAAGCTTTAACGCATTTTTTGCCGTTTCGCGCCTTTTTGCAATCATCGACTAGCAAGTTCATGCGTGCGCGGAGTCATGCGCGCGTACTAGCGGTGCGTTTGTCCAATGTTGATGCATGGTCGATAAACTGATTATCGGTTGAACATCGCTTCCGCGCTCGCTTGGATTTGGAGCGCTTTATCATAATGTACGATCAATCGAAAAAATAATAATCTTCTTAGACCAAGTATGAAGATAAAGCGAGCAAATCCAGGATTGTCCTAAAATTCAAGAGGAGCACAAGGTATTGAAACCAAACTCTTTTTTTCAATTTTAAAAAACGCTGCTCCGTCCACTCAAATGACGATACTTGGCGGCAGCACTCAAGCCCATCTCGTAGAGATACGGGGACTATCGCTTGTTGAGTTTGTGTATTTGCACAAACACACCATAGGTGACGCTTCGCGTATGCAAAGACAAACGAAAGTCGAAGTGTGCGTCCTTGACAGCTCGAACGCTGCTCTTAACTCGGCTTCAGACAACGATTATCGTACGTTGTTTGATCGACAATTATCTGCGAATAGTGGGAATACTTAAATTGATTTTCTATTTTTTATACTAATGAAGATCTCCAAAAATGAATAATTAGCAGAAAATATTCGATACATATCAATCTAGCGTAGCGCGAATCACTTGAATCAGCTGATAATATAATATAATAAAATAATAATAATAATAATAATAATAATAATAATAATAATAATAATAATAATAATAATAATAATAATAATAATATAATAAAATCGCCAACAAGTACCTCCCGAAAGTTACTCGATACCACTTTTTTGTTCAATCTAGGCCGCCGGTCTATGGGGCTCAAAAAGTGCGAGTTTGGAAATTTCCTTTTCGAGACTTTTTTTGGAGAAAGGTGGGTGAGTGCCCCGGCGCTGACCTTGTTCAAAGCAAACATGAACATGTTAAACATAATGCATGCCATGTGAAAACGCGTCAAGTGCTAAGGAGGTTCGGTTCAAGAAGGCAGGCGGCATACAAAAGTGGGCGGTCCGCACACGGGTTCAGTAAATGCTTCCTTTTGGAACTAGTGTTTAGAAGTCGGGTTTGCGCAAGTTCTAGTTCAAAGCTTAGGTACGTGATTATGATAGTGGTAGCATTTTATTTACGCCAGTCAAACACGCAGGGCGAAAATGCACAGTTTACGTTAGAATTTAGAACACCATAATCTTTGACCCCATCCGGTTCCGTATGCGGACACATTTTCTTGGTCGCGGCCATGTTTGCAGCGGTCCCTTTGAAAACATTGTCGTCCCAGATAGTCGGCGAAATGTTTCACTTCAAGGAAATTCGATCTAATGGGTTCCGCTACAGCCAAGCTCCGTCGAAGAACGGATGTTCCGGAAAGAATTTGAACTTCTCCATTGCAGGCCCGACCAAATATGCGTATCAAATCCGTTAGTGGAAATATTCAAGCTGTTCCTGATATCGGACCGAAAGTTTCTCGATCGATCTATAGATGAGATTACCATTTCGCAGCTTTCGGAAGCGTTCCAGTTGGATTCGGTTGGAATGACCCATCTACTTGGAGGAGTCACATTTGATAGCGAGCAACGAGTAGCTGGTACGTGTGAGATTATAGGCATTTCATCGCACGCAGAGAAGGGACGCCACTGCAGATTGCGATAGTATGTGTTTTGGAGAGACGCAGACGGTTAAAGTGAAAGTGTTAGAGACGCAGCGCGCGCAGTGGCGCTTCGCCTCTGCGTGCGATGATCTTATATATAAAGCTGAATGTCTGTTTGTATGTATGTATGTATGTCTGTCTGTATGTATGTATGTGTGTACGTATGTTCCGAATAGAAAATTCCATTTCTGAACCGATCCGGACCAAACTTGGCACACATACACTACGGGCCCCGGCGGGTGTCATAGGCTACTTTTCGTCATCGATCGATATCGATTTTATCGATTTTTATCGATTTTTTTGCTGAGTTCACCTACGGGGCTGGGAGTTGGCACAGGGGGGTAATCGAGCATGGGGATTCCGAATACAATATTGGTTTTCAGGATTATCGATTACTTTTATCGATTTTATCGATTTTTTTGCAAAGTTTGAGCTACGGGGCTGGGAGTTCGCACAGGGGGGTAATCGAGCATGGGGATTCCGAATACAATATTGGTTTTCGGGATTATCGATTACTTTTATCGATTTTATCGATTTTTTGCAAAGTTGGAGCTAGGGGGCTGGGAGTTGGCACAGGGGGGTATTCGAGCATGCTGATCACTCCCAAGGGGGGGTGATCAGCATGCTCGATTACACCCCTGTGCCAAATTCCAGCCCCCTAGCTCAAATTTTCAAAAAATCGATAAAATCGATAAAAGTAATGGACGATCTTGAAAACTAATATTGTATTCGTAATCAGCATGCTCGATTACCCCCCTGTGCAAAATCTCAGCCTCGCATGTCAAAATTTACAAAAAATCGAGAAAATCAATAAAAGTAACCGATAATTCTGAAAACTAATATTGTATTCGGAATTCCCATGCTCACTTCCCCCCTGTGCCAACTCCTAGCCCTGTAGGTGAACTCTGCGAAAAAATCGATAAAAATCGGTAAAATCGACATCGATCGATAACGAAAAGTGGACTGTGACACCCGCCGGGGCCCGAAGTGTATGTGTGCCAAGTTTGGTCCGGATACGGCGGAGCCGGGTAAGCCAGCTAGTTGCCTATATAACTCGGATTTGAATATATGAATAACACCTCAATTGATTTTCTCCTTGTTTAGGTGCCAAGGCAATGATGCTACCGTACGCGTTAAGACATTCATCTCAAAGTGAAGACTGGCTTGCTGAACAGTGGGAATTGAGACTGGTCGATTTTCTTTTAAATGTGAGCAAAGTCTTTCAATTTTTGCATTTTTGTAAAGTGTCACTAAAAACTGCAAGCTTTAGTACGATTCGCCGATAATTCGTGCAAGTTGGTGGACGTACGAGACATTGGCTGCTGAAAGTGCAAGAGACCGTAATCAGCTTATCAAGTGAGTAGAGTCGGAAGTGCTCTTAACAGAAAACGAGTGGAAAGCACTTGTGTCGGTTTCTTTGTAAGCAAAGCTATACACAATCCTCAGTCATTCAGCAAAGCTCAAACAATAGCTTTAAAAAAATAAGATTACGCTGCAAAATAGTTAAAATTCAAACTTACTGCAAAAAATGTGAGTGTACCTTTTGTCATCGGTGTGGTAGAAAATCCACAATTAATAAAACTCAAAATACCCTCAGAAATTTTAATGAGGTTTCAAATTAGTAAGTTTTAAGCAGGAATCGTATGTTCTAGATCACGCGCAGTAAAGTTTGAAAGCTTGCAGAATTCTGCAGTTAGACATTTCCTTTAAACAGAAGGATGGAAAAAAGGGGAAGGCTGTGCAAATAAATAGTAGTCCATTACTAAACACGTATCAGCAATGGTCCGACAAATTTCTCTGAGGGTGGTGGGGGGGAGGGGGAGGGGGAAGGAAGTAGGGTGATTAACGGATCAGTTTCAGAACTGTCTTATACATCTTATGCGATTGATTCGTGATTGATTGTCTTAAAAAATCAATTAGCATCCGAAGCTTACTAGAAAAAGCAAATTTCAAAAATAAAATCCCTTTTTTCCCAAGTGTTGCGATAATCAGCGTGCATTTTAGCACAAATACAATCATTAAGATATTCTAAAATTTAATTTACGTCAGATTCTTTACAGCAATACATTCTTTACTTTTTAAGTACGTTTTAGGGCACCTTTGAGTTCGAACACTTGCACGAAATCGTTCCAAAGTTTTAAGCCAAAAGCTGAGAAATTTGAATTCCGAAAAATTAAACAATCGGATTTCTGCCTAATACTTTGCCAGCATTTCTTAGGAAGGTTATTCAGTGTATGTTTCTTCTTTTTCAGTATGTTGGCTCCGTGCTTTGTTGCTGTTTCGCTCTTCACAATAGCGATGTGTTGTGTATGTTCGTGGAGACGATCTCGACCTTGGTACACAAACTTTTTGAGCATTCTCGCAAACTTCTCCACACTTTTTTATTTAGGCTGGCCATCGGTGGAGTAATTTCTGCAGCAATGGCCATTATATCTGCTGTCGGGTTATTGTTACTTAGCGGGTTTGGAATGACCAGTGTGGCCTATTCAATGCCATTTATTGTATTTTGTAAGTTTTTATAAGCAGTCATCGCACGCATAGAGTGGACGAGGCGTCCGTGTGAGAGAGTTTGTGTCTGGAAGAGGCGGCAGACGGTAAGAGAGATAACAGTGCGTTTTATCAAAAAGACGTCCGCAATTGCACCAATCTCCGCATACGATGACTCACATATACTTCTGCGCATAGGGAAATTGCAACAGAAAGTGAGCAGGTTCAGAAAGATCAGGCCTAGAAACTTCTAGAATGTGTTCAAGGCAGGAAAGGCATTGTTGCCCGTTGTGTGCTTGCAACGTAGGTAAACAGATTCGCCTGGTTATGCATTGCAATTGTGGCGAGAAGGTGATCTGAATGGCAAACAGGATGAAAGATAGTCGCCATTCCTGCGCACAGTTGCTCAACAAATAAACAATATCATCTAACAGCTCTACATACAGTCGCTTCATTTCATATGATCATGTGTGTCATTGCACACACAGTTCACCTTTGGCGTCCCCATCCTGGATTCGTGGGAGAAACAAACCTTCAGGTAAGTGTTTCCAAGGTGTTCTTAGCATTTTCTTTTCTTTTTAGTTACTAGTCACCTCAAATTGATGTAATCGATAACAATCGGTAAGTCTCTTGCGTTTTTGCGATTGCAAATCCAGGATGAGGACGCCAAAGTGGACTGTGTGTGCCATTGCACACATGATCATATGAAATGAAGCGACTGTAGCAGTGGCGTACCCAGGATTTTCGTGTGGGAGAGACGGCGACAAAACCTAAATTAATTTTGAAAAATACAAAAATATTCCAATTATTTGCAGGTATGAACAAGCAACTTGCACATTTTTATGACTCATGTAAGTAACTTCCAAAAATTTCGCGACCCATTCTCGAGTGAGGGGCCCACTTTTAAAAGTGCCCATTCAGAGATTCCGAGCGGTTTCTAGTCAAGAAAGAGCATCATTTAGATACTTCAATCGATTTTGCATAACGCAAAAATTCAAAATTGTTCCTCAAATAAGCAAATGCCTTACTTTTTATGAAAATTTACGTGCATAGAAGCCGTGGCAGTTACCCCTCAAATCAGCTGAAACCATTCAGCTAGGTGCCAATTGCGACCTTAACTTTTGCTTACATATGGCAGGACATCAACTAGATACGATCATCCCGAGAATTGGACAACCGAAACTAAAGCCGTTTATTGGCCAAACACAAAACGAATAACACGAACAAGAACAAGAACACAAGTGAACTGTGCCAGTACCTTATTTATTGCGGCTAAATACGCTCGCAATCAATGAAATCAAATGATAGCAAGGCGTGAACATCATCTGATTTACAGAACAACTTCAACAAAATTACAAGGTAAGAAAAATGAGTAGGACGCGCATAGGTAGGACTCAAATAGATGGCAAGGGTAAAAATATTAACAGAACAACGAACTACACACATGCCTTTTTTATGAATAATCCTTGCATTTTGAGAGTTTTCAACACAAGCTGATCCAAAAATGTTACTAAAAATGCATTATTTCAGCCGTAGGAGTGGATAATGTGTTTATGCTGCTATCCGCTTGGAGATCGTCGCCATCAAATGAAAGCCTGGAGAAACGCATGGAGGATACGTTTGCTGAAGCCGGCGTGTCGATTACTGTAACCTCTTTGACCGATTTTATATCATTTGCTGTCGGATGTGCCACTCCGTTCCCGAGTGTGCAGGTATGATCTGAAAATTCATTTGAAATACAGATAACCTCAATTTCCAACTAGAAAGATTTGCAGATTCTAACCATAATATCTTTATTCATATAAAAAAGCTACCTCAGAATTTTACGTGCACGCACCTTCTCAAAAGAACTTCCTGATAAAATTTCAAAACAACAACAGCCGCTCACTCAAAAGATCAATATGTAATTATGTGTAGTGTATTTTCAGGGCTTGATAAAAACTGTTTCATATTGTACAAATAATATATAAAGCAGAAAAAAGCGAAAACAGTCAATAATAATTCCAACGCTTTTATATGGATTGAAATAAAAGAGTTAGTGTGTCACTGTAGGGTCTAGTCATCAAATGATTCACTTATTTTGTGTAGTTCACTTCACCATTCATCAAATGATTCACTTATTTTGTGTAGTTCACTTCACCACGATCTGCTTAGCAAATCAAGGGAAGGGAATATAACATTTAAACTGTTAGTGATCTTTTATATCGGCGCTTTATACAATTGTATTCACCTAAGAACTTACCTTTAGAAAATCTTACCTTACATTACATCAGAACTTAACTTAATCTCACTAATGTGGAGGTGATTTTATGTTCCAAAGTATTATATTATAAAATAAACTTAGATTCTATGGGGCCTTCTACTGAGGAGTTCCGGGCGGGGGGGGGGGGGAAGGGGGGACCCGTAGATTCTTTCACTCCGTTTAAAGGCAGCGTCCAGGCAAGATCCATCCACCCAGATTATCACATAGTTGTAAAGAGAGGCCCATGAGTATCCGATTGCGTTAATCCAATCCTCTGACGTGCCCTCTAAAAGGAGATACGGGCCTGTGATACGTATCACAAGCCGCCCCTTCGTATCACAAACCACCCCTGAGGACGAGTGCTTACGCAGGGTGCGGTTGCATTGCAGTTGCATTGCAGTTGCACTTCACACTGCAATGCAACTGCATCCGTGCAGTTGCAGCTCCTCCCGCTGGCATGACGATGGGGACGAGCAATTCGAAGCTGGTCCACCTTTTGAAGAAAGGGTCCCCAGAACCGGGTTTTTTGGGAGTTTTGAACAATTTCGACTTTACAGCTGTAGTCAGGGTCACGGAAAGGCCCCAGAATGGCAGAAACATGGGAGGCAAAATTTTGCCCGGACGCTGCCTTTAAAGAGGAGCGAAACGAGATTGAGAAGAAAAGCGCCTTACCTTTTCTTGTATTATAATCGTTATAGACGATCAGGTGCAAAAATCACAAATTTCCTTCCCAAACTTTTGAATATTTTTGCAACCGCAAAAGAAGTTTAACCATATAATTTGTAGATGTTTTGTGCTTATGCCGTGACCGCAGTATTATTCACTTATGTCTATCAACTTACCTTCTTTGCTGGAATCATGGTTTATACTAACAGAAGAGAAATGGACAATCGAAATTGTTTGACTTGCTGCAAAATCAAGAAAAGAACAGGTATGAGCCTATATACCATCCTTTTCATAAAAACGGAAATTTTAGACTGGAAAACAGTCAGCTTGGACCGAAGCTTCGAAAAAAATCATATGCTATCGCAGTTCTTCCGCACAACGTATTCCGATCTGCTATTGAATCCATTTGTTAGGACATTGATTATAGTGTTGTTTTTTATGTATCTAGTGAGTGGACATTGATTTTTTCGGATTTGATACTTATTATTTCTCTTATAGGTGGTCGCAGCCTATGGTTGCACTAAAGTAAAACTCGGACTTGAGCCCAATGATCTTCTTCCTGATAACTCCTATGGTAAAAGAACACTTCGACTAGCTGAGAAGTACTTCTCAGGTGGGAAATGCCAACAGTTACCGTGGAGAATGGGTGCAATATTTTTGTTAAAGATTACGGTAGCAGTCTACATGTTTGGATGTATAATCTCTCAAAGATCGACTATGGTTCGCGCCGATTCTGGGTTGTGCTGAATAAAGAGATTGAGCTCTACGAATATACGGAATTTACTGCAACAGCTGATTCCTGGTAAGTACATGTAATTCACAGTCTGGAATAGACGTAGCAGAATTTGTTTGTTTATTTATTTCATGTAAAGTGCGCCTATCACAGATCAGTGATTAAGCAGTAATCATCAGCAAAGAAAAAAAGACTGAGCTCAGCTAGAAACAAAAAATATTACTTTTGAAAGAGATGATTAAACAACAGTCATATTCAGGTTTGGAGGTCAGTAAGTAGCATGATTATAGTATCCACAGACTACCTTGGAGACATCGTCCAACCCAGTCTCGACTTCCATGTTTTAGTCGTTCCAGGGCCTTCTCATGTCCCTGATTCCAAATATGAAGTCAAAAATCCGCGAAAACCCCCGACAATCTCCGTTCCAGATTCCACCCAGATTCTCGATTTCCATGTTTTGTCGTTCCGGAGCCTCCTCATGTCCCTGATTCCAGACATGAAGTCAAGAATCCGCGAAAACCCCGACAATCTTCCTTTCCGGAGAAAACGCAGCCGGCGTTCCGCCACGGTGATTGCATGGGCGCGCACGAATGGGCGGGCTACTGGAGAGGAGCGGGGCCAACTTGGGGTCTCATGCCTCTTCGCTATCCCGAACCGATTTTCTTGCCTCCTAAGCGGAATTCTGCGCCGCGACTGAGGCCCTCGCTAGAGTGCCGAAGCCACGCCAGCGCTGCGCCGGCGCCGAGCTGTCCCATTTGTTCGGGGTGGGGCTAGCTCTAGCTGACCCTTTGCGGGCAAGGGCTACCGGAGCTTCTGGCAGATTCGAGCAAGTCGGTGCATCTACGTGGCTAAGAACTAGGTCAACTAGCCTCGCCCCAACGAAATGCACGTGTATCGATCGAAACGGCGCCGGCGCAGCGCTGGCGTGGCTTCCGCACTCTGGCGGGAACCTTAGGCGCTGTCCTCATAAGCGATCCTCTTACATCAAGCCAAAAGCTCAAGACCCGTAACTTAGGGTGGACGGTGCCTTTGAGGACTTTACCATCAGAGTGATATTGGTTCTGTAGTTTTGATTTATTCAGCCACAAATTTACGTTTTCCAGGTTGCGCACCTTCTTAGCATTTATCAAGCAATCCGGTCTGCTCCTCACTCGAGAAAACTTTGTCTACCTTCTAAGAAATGTGTTCCTAACACAGCCACAATTCAGCAAGTACCAACGGTAGGTGCAATTTTTGTCCACAAACAAAATGGCAGATGTGAATTAATAGTTCCTTTTACTTTTCACTGGTACTCAGTGGTGCAAGACAGTGAATTTAAAGAGATCATAGGATTGATGCGAACCTGCTTGCAAAAGATACATTCGGTCATGTTTGACTAGTTGCTTTGTGTAAATGCACCACTTCCTGGATTTGCGCAGCGTGTTGTCATCTTTGTATAAACCATCATTTTCTCCGTGGTGCAAATTTTATGGTTTTCCATCGTTTTCTGCTGACTTCTTCTGGTCTTTCTGGGTTGATACAGACTTTATTTCCTACTAGCTTCTACACGCACTGCACTCTAAGATCGAGCGTTTCGCGATTATAACGGAATAACAGATTCAGACATCACATGAGATTAATTACTCAGCACGATGCGATTTTTTGTACACGGGCTATCTTTCCCCACTCTTCCCAGTGATCTTGCATTGAGCAGCGTGCCTACTCATCAAATGACGCATTAGTTATAGTTATAGTCCAGACTGCATATAGTAATTCAGACTCACAGAGGTGACGCAGTCTTTCCGTAACGCCTTATGATTTCGAGCACCTTTTTTGTGTTTGCTTGAAAAAGCATGAGTCAGCCATGGCCTCCATTTATTTCTGCGGGTGCAAATCCATATTACACCGCATTTTTCCGTTCTTTCTTGAATAAGAGCTGTCACCATGTGTCTTCTCACTCTAACAATGCGTCCTTTTTAGTGACGTCGTTTTCCACGAAGCCGGCACCGCGCTCTACGCTTCCAGAGTTCCAGTCCAACTCAGACATGTTGGATGTGCAAACCAGAGCCGTGCCATGCATCTTTTCCGCAGATTAGCGGAAACGAGCGAGATACCGACCGGTGTGTACGCCGACTTCTTCCAGGTACCGAAACATTAAGCTTGAGTAAAATAGCTTAGTATTCTCCTTTCAGTTCGCCGAACAATATAATGCTGTTTTACCTGGGACGTTGTCGTCTATCGCTTACGCAGGTGGAGCTGTAGTCGTCGTCTCTTTGCTTTTGATTCCCGAACCGGTGGCCAGTTTATGGGTGAGTTTTGTTTCTGACACATAATGCATAGCCGATAATCAGATCAAGAGACAACCGTATCCAAGCATGCACAATATTTTTGATTACGATGTATGGCAACGATATAAATTAAATCTGGTGTAATATGTGCAATGAGAAAAGCAGACAAATTTGTTCTACCTACCATGTCCACCATTTTTTTAACTACAGAACGCTTCGCACATGTGTGATTAATTTACAATCATAAAGCAGTGATAGACCAAAAAGATATGGAAGACAAGCATGAATGTGAAGGCTGCTGCATGACGAAGGCTCAGAAGGGCTGTTGGTTGAGCGGGCTCGAACGCGACGCGCGCGTTTCCTCACCATTGTAAATCCTGCGCCTCATGTGCTCTGCGGCCAATAAAACCGCGTGTGCGCCCAAAGATATTGCGCCTTCGTCATGCACCAATCTATACACCGAACAACTGATGAAGTTGAAGATTTTACGCGTCGATCCGCTTAGGGGCGCGCTTTGCGTTCGGAGCAGGATTGCGCTAGAATTGAACGTTGACATTTCCGAAACTGTGAAAAGCGAGGAAGAATATAAAACTTTGTGCTAGTGTGAGAACTTTCAATAGGCAACTACAAATACGAAAAAGTATGAAATTTCATGCGAAAGGGTTGGGTCCTGCTTAGCTGGCTCCAGCTGGCACATTTCAGTTTATTAGGGAAAAGCTACACTTATCTTATGTATCCATCTCACTACTTATGTCTTTAGGTCTCTTTTTCAATAGTATCGATCAATGTCGGCATTCTTGGCTTTATGACATTTTGGAATGTTCGCTTGGATTTCATTAGCATGGTCACCATAGTAATGTCCATCGGATTCTGTGTAGATTTCGCAGCTCATCTGGCCTACAACTTCGCTAAAGTTGGTTCACCTATTTGAGTTTTGAGTGAGTTTATTAAAAGTAAATCAAATCATTTTCAGGGACGGAACCTTCCTCCTTCGGAACGCATGCGCAATGCGCTATATGCTGTTGGTGCACCAATTCTTCAAAGCGCCACGTCTACTATACTTGGCGTCTCTTTCTTAGCCTCAGCTGAATCCTACGTATTCAGAAGCTTTTTGAAAACAATCTTCCTGGTCATTCTTTTAGGTAAGCACGACATATATATTACGAGAGAGTATTAAGCTCATTTTGAAGTTGCAGGTGTTCTGCATGGACTTGTTGTGCTCCCAGTGCTTCTCACGATGTTCCACTGTTCTGGTAATAGTGATAGGGTGGAGGACAGCACAGTGACAAAGAAAAGCATAAGAAGTGTCCGATCCCTCTCCACATCGAGCACTCCTCCTGCTATCAAATATCTTATGAATCCAGAGCTGTATACTCTTCCTTTGGACTATCCGCTCTCCTATCTTGAATACCGGCAGAAGCTCGGGCAACCCCCCGACTATCAGGAAGCCGTCCCGCCATATCCGATGCGGGCTCGCCTGAAACATCCGCAAGTCAGGGGAACAAATCAAGATCGAGAATCTGTTTATTGTTATCATAATCCTGCAAAACAACCTCGGTGATCAGATCGCCTTCCATGTTCTAAAGTATTGTTTTCCTTTTACTTCTACGTCTTTCTACAATGCACCGGTACTTGTTATATGATTACTACATAATTGTGATGAATCGCCATCGCTTTATTGAACTCTCCAAAGGCTAGTCCCTAATGAAGGCGGTTTCTGCAACAAGGTGTGCGGGCATAATGCTAATTGTGAAAGATGTTTGCCGCGTTCGCATCCATTTCACGAAGTGACAAAGCGTCTACGTTAGGGATCAGCCTTTGCTTCGACCGAGCTTGTTTTTTTTTCACTTTGGGTCTTAAATTGTGTGCCATCTTTACCAATCGCAATATTTTGTCATGATATGTTTGTACATTGCTCAAGCATTTTATTACATTTCTTCTCACAATCAATACAGAACTGACATAACATAACAGATGAAACTTATTGCCGCCAAAATTTAGCAATCAGTAATGCTTTGCTGGTGTGAGATCATATCAAGGAAACAAACACCCAACTACAAAAGTCGGGAAACAAACAGTTTACAAACAATATATAAGCAATAGATTTGTCATATATTGACATGACTATGAAGATCCTTGTCTAAAGTTTAAGTCGATGGTTCTATCGCTTTCTTCTCAAAGACCTCATTATTATTGCTGTATTACCAAAGTGCTTTAGAAAGCAAAGGCATTGTAAAATTGTGTTACCTCCGAACTTCAATCGTAATTTGGTACAGTTGTTGAAAACTCAGAGTTTATTGACGACGTTTCGATTTTCTAAATCACATCAGGCCTCAAATTAAATACCATGTGGTTGAAGAAAGATGAGAAGCAAACGGGCATGTACACTTTTTGCAGGTGAAAGTAGGCTGTGGTGGTAGCCAGCGGAAATGGTAGTGGCCCCCTTGTTGAGTCAGTCAAAAATGAACTATGGCTGTATTGACTTTGGAAAAGTTAAGTGATAAACACCACTACCTCCTTCATTTCTTCCTTGCTCTCTATCTCTGTTACGTTTCCATCTCCCTCTCATATTTTTCCTTCCAAAGTAATTGTCAAGGTACGATATAAAACTGTTACCCTAAATGACGGTGCAGCATGCGCAGGTGCCTGAGTGTACGACGATTTGAGAAACTTTGGGTCAAAAACGCAGGAATGACCAATGTCCTCCTGTGGTCATATAGTGTTAACTTTAAGGGCCTTCCGCTTTCTCCTATATACTTTTCTCTGCATCCCTGACATTCAGTTATATAAACTGTTCCCCGTAAGGCACATTGCTGATCTTCATAGTATAAGCATCCATCGCGTTTTCTACCATATATTCGTTTTGTGAGCATTTCTTCCAAAGAGGCAGTGAAAATGCCACTTTCACTGTGAGTCCTTAGCCCTTGACTATTTAATTTAGCTTTCAAACAGCATTTTCAGCATAAGGCAGCGTTATTGTGAGCCCTTATGGAGCTTTATGGGATCTCCACATATTGAGACACAGTGGCCGGTATCCACTTTTTTCAAGGATGCTATCAACAAGATATCATCTTGTCATTATGGATCAAAGCTTTTTCTTCGTTTGTCATGTCGTCCGGATCCTTACAAACTAAGAAGAAGCTCTCTTATCCATAAATGAGGTAGACTTTTTGTTGATAGCATCCTTCGAATAGATATCGGCCAATGTGGCACATACGCACGATTATATCATATAAACCTTTTGAATAGATATGCAAGTCAAGAGATGTGATATGAACCACCAAGCCTTATCCCATGGTGTGCAGTGCGAACAGATATTCTGTTGAAGCGTGTTTTAGACTGGATACGATGGGAGACTACCCGATGCTTCACTATGTGAGACTTCCACAGAATTCATAACATCTGATGTGTTGCCCTATTTTCATTTGCAATAATCGGGTCAGCCATGAAGCGCAGGCAGGGCTAAGCACGAGTTGGCACCACAGAAATTTCCAAACGAAGTCCCCTTTGATCTCAAAGGCAGCGTTTGGGCAAAATTTCGAGCAAAAATTTTGGCTTACCTGGGCTTATCCTTCCCGCTCATTCCGAAAATGCGGCAATGCGAAAATGTCGAAAAGGGGCTAATTTAGAAGCTGTTGATTTTGAATAAGGACCCTTGCCGCCGGTTAAGACTTGGAGTCGTGCTGGGACCCTTCGTTTTGACTGTGTGCGAACGTACTCTGACTATCGATTGAACGGGCGCGCAGGTCGTCGTGACGTTCCGGTCGCCACTTCTGAGAAGTTTCCTCGATTCGGAAGCAAAGTGGTACATTGCCACTTGAGCAAGAGCTTAGGGCGGGAGCCCTTGTACGCTGCCCACACTCTGCCTTCAAAGATTCTGTGCGAAGTCCCCTTTGACCCTAAGCGTAAAAAATTCAAAAGAAACGAAACCGCAGATGATCGCCGGGAGCAGGCGGCCATGCGATTTTTGGGCGAGCGAGCACCGGAAAAATAATTCGCTGATTTCTTGCGAAATTTGGAAGAATGTTGGCGGCCGGCAAAGTCCCATCGTCACCTCCCCGCGGTGCCGGCTGGCAACGGGGACCAACCCCGGCAAACGACGAGGGCACTGTCCCGCCAGGCGGAGCGACGCGCCGGGGACTGTACGAATCAGTCGTGTCACATGCATCGGACTATTAAGGAATTTTGTGAAGCTGCTAGGGCGTCACCCGGAGGCGACGCGCGTCATTGCCCGCATGGCGCGAATAGTGAGCTAGGGCTACCTGCCCCCGGACGAGGCAGGCCAAAGAAGCGAGTCCAGGAAATCCGACTAGCGACGATCAATATAGGAACGCTGACGAGCCGCAGTCGGGAGCTATGCGATAGGCTGAAGGAACGACACGTCGACATCGCATGTGTACAGGAAACGAAATGGAAAGGGAGGCAGGCAAAGGACATCGGCGACGGATATCGCTTGTACTACACGGGAGGTAGCAGCCGCCAGAACGGAGTCGCGATCATCGTCAACGGTAGATACCGCGAATTAGTGACCGAAGTGACGCGCATCTCAGATAGATTGATGGCGATGAAGATCGAAGCAGATGATGCCACGCTCCGAATAGTCTCGTGTTATGCCCCGCAAGCCGCATGTACCGAAGCCGAGAAGGACGTGTTTTGGAGGGACTTCGACATCCTGCTAAGGACATTCGACGTTGCAGACTACATCTTCGTAGGAGGCGATCTCAATGGGCACGTTGGCCACGAACACTATGGATTCAAGCGATACCATGGTGGAAACGGATACGGTCAGAGGAATGAAGATGGAGAACGCATCCTGGAAGCAGCAGAAGCACATGACTTGGCGATAGCGAATACATTTTTCAAGAAGCGAGAGTCACATTTGATCACGTACGCGAGTGGAGAGCGCTCAACTCAGATCGACTACTGGATGCTGCGCCGATGCCATTTGCCGATGGTGATGAACGCGAAGGTTATACCCACGGCGACACATGCATTTGCGCCACAACACCGGTTGCTTGTATCGGATCTTCGACTGAACATCCACTTGCGGTCACGAGCCAGAAGGACGACTACAAAGAGGATCAAATGGTGGAAGCTCCCCGAACATCGCCAGCAAGTCAGAGATGCTCTTATCGATTTGAGGGTGTCGACGGATGATAAGGAGTCGATTGAAGAGCAATGGAATCGGATTACTCCGCAGATACGATCGAGGGCCGAGACAATTTTGGGAACCACCAAGCCAGGACGTCGGTTTGTAGACAAGCAGATCTGGTGGTGGTCTGAGTCAGTCCAGCAAGTGATCAAGGAGAAGAAAGAAGCTTTCAAAGCCTGGCAACGCTCACACTCAAATGAAGACCTCCGTCGGTATCGAGAACAGAACTCGAAGGCGAAGCACGCGGTAGCCGAAGCAAAGGAAGCTCACTACAAGAGACTTTACGACGAGCTGGAAGGGCCTGCTGGAGCGAACAAGGTCTACCGACTGGCCGCTGCACGACATCGAGCGAAGCAGGACATCGACCACGTCATGCACATTAAGGACGCAGAGGGCAACCTCCTGACGAAGCCGAGGGCAATACTCAAGCGATGGAGTGAATACTACAAAGGGCTATTTAATGAGGAGTTCCCGCACCCGTTAATACCGCAAGGAGCCCCCACATATGGACCGGTATCTCGGATCGAAGAGGCAGAAGTTGTGCAGGCACTGAGGAAGATGTCTAGCGGAAAAGCTCCGGGACCCGACGACATACCTGCTGAAGTGTGGAAGATGATGGGGCAGCGTGGAGCGGCATATCTCACATCGCTCTTTAACCGCATTATCGTAGACGGACAGTTGCCGCGAATCTGGACTACGAGTGTCACAGTCCCTATCTGGAAGGAAAAGGGCGACGTCAGCGACTGTTCAACATATCGACCAATACGCTTGCTATGCCACACGATGAAGATCTTCGAACGAGTCATCGACGCACGCATTCGAAGTATAGTGGAGGTCACCCCAAATCAATGCGGTTTTGTAAAAGGATCTGGCACCATCAACGCCATCCACGCGGTACGATTGCTAATGGAAAGGCATTTGGAGAAACGGATTCCGATTCATTTCGCATTCCTGGATTTAGAAAAGGCATTTGATCGGATACCACACGGGCTGATCTGGTATGCGCTGAGACAACACGACGTCCCAGAAGAGTACGTTCGCTGGATCAAACTCCTCTGTACGAACACGACGGGCGCCATACGCTGTGCAGTGGGAACGTCAACGCCATTCCCAATCCAAGTCGGAGTACACCAAGGATCGGCTCTATCACCGCTTCTCTTTATACTGTGCATGGACACGGTGACCAAGGACATCCAGCTGCCGCATCCGTGGACGCTCCTTTACGCAGACGACGTCGAGCTAGCAAGCGGATCGAGACAAGAGCTTGAAGAGGCGACTGTGAGATGGAAGACACGATTAGCGGAGTATGGCCTACGACTGAACGTAGCAAAGACCGAGTACCTGGAATGCGGAGAGCAAACCGATGGCACAATTAGCATCGATGGGCAGCCGCTGAAGAAGGTCACGATATTCAAATACCTGGGCTCCCGAGTGACGTCAGATTGCCACACGATCACTGATGCTCGTGCTAGGACGAACGCGGCGTGGCTAAAATGGCGGCAAGTAACAGGAGTACTCTGCGACCGACGAATCCCGTTGTATCTCAAGTCGAAAGTGTATCGGACTGTGGTGAGGCCAGTCGCA